TGAAAAGTATCAATAAAGCACTTCATCTACTTTGCCACATAGCCTATCTTAAATTTCTTCCACTTCTTCACATTAAATGAACTTTGTTTGGCTTTCCGCTGAGATTTGGATATTTCTGATTGCCCCTTCTAACACGGCTCTATCCATACCATTCTCTCAGTTTTCTCCATGACAGTCAGCTTTCTACCCTTTCACCCAGTCAGAAATTTCAAAATCCATACGGATAAGCTTTTAACATCTAGCGCTGGTCTGGGCCAGTGATTTCACTGGTATATGTTGTTCCCGGTGAGGAAACTCCTTCACCTAATGCTGCATTGGACATTTGCCCAGGATCACAAAGCCAGAAGATGTCAGAAGCAGGATTTTAAGATTCCCCTGTCCTTTCTAGTACTTCAAGCTGCCCTCTCAACTCAAATAATTAAATAAAATGTGTTAGATACTCACTATGTGTTTTTCTTTGGTGGCAGAGACGGGTGAAGAGGGTGGAGTAGGAGGAAGTGTGCAGTGTCTCTGTCTCTGTCTCTCTCTCTCTCCCCCCAACCCCTCCAACAAAGATACAGAGGTTCCCAAAGTAGACAACACCACCCTTGGAGGGCACTGGAATGATCCTGGCAGGGCAGTAGTAGCCTCTGCAGTATACTGCGGTAACAGTATGACAGGAAAGAAGGTAAACTAGAATCACAGTTTTTTAGACCATCAATACTTTGACCATTAGTGCTCTAAATGTTCGACCTTTGTTCACTGACTGACAAGGTGACATTGCTAGACAAGCTAAATCACATCAGCAAGTTTCAGTTAAATAGAAAGTCTTTTCCAGGCTCAGCTCAAGTGCTACCCCCTTCTAGAGGTCTTTCCCCATTGTTAATTAATGTTATTACTCCCCACCCCAGTCTTTTGTATTTATTTTGCAAATAACTTACACATACTTATTTGTGGAAATGTATACTCTCGCTTATGGAATGTAAGCTCCCTGAAGGCACAAGGCCTAGCAGATGACAGGCATTTAAAAGCCTGGAGATTCACTGGCTTAAAGTGGAGAGCACAGTAGCTCATTTAAACAGCTTGATTCCCAGAGACTTTGTTGAAGTGATAATCTTTTTTTTTTTCCTTAGGCAGTTGGGGTTAAGTGACTTGCCCAGGGTCACACAGCTAGTAAGTGTCAAGTGTTTGGTCTGAGGCCAGATTTGAACTCAGGTCCTCCTGACTTCAGGGCTGGTGCTCTATCCTCTGCGCCACCTAGCTGCCCCTGAAGTGATAATCTTTTAGGGGCCGCTAGGTGGCGCAGTAGATAGAGCTGAGGCCTTGGAGTCAGGAGGACCTAAGTTCAAAACCAGCCTCAGACACTTGACACTTACTAGCTGTGTGACCCTGGGTAAGCCACTTAACCCTGATTGTCTCACCAAAAAACAAAAACAAAAACTGAAATTATTTTCACTAGATGTGTGACCTTGGGCAAGTCACTTAACCCTGACTGCCTCACCAAAAAAAAAAGTGATAATCTTTTGTAGGTATAGAAACACTTCTTTCTTTCAGATGAATTCATTCCAAATAGAGGCGAACTCAGTGTAGTAGATAGGGTGCTAGAAGTGGAGTCAGGCAAACCCAGTTCAACCATGCCTCTAACAATATAGGCAAGTCTCCTTACTAGAGGCTGATTATTTCATATATAAAATTTGGATAATACCTGTAGTGTCTAGTTCACACAGGGGCTAGAGGCTCAAATCAGATAATATAAAGAACTCCCCAAACATTTAAGCACTCTTTTGTTCCTCAATCATTTCAGCAAAGTCCAGCTCTTCATGACAGTGGTTTATTGTTTTCTTCTTCAGCTCATTTTACACATGAGAATACTGAGGCAAAGAGTTAAGTGACTTGCCCAGGATCACACAGGTAGTAAGCATCTGAGGCCAGACTTGAACTCAAGAAGATGAGTCTTCCTGACTCCTGGTTTGGCGCTCTACCCACTGCACAACCTAGCTTCCACTATATAAGCACTATATCAACATCAATTATTATTTGTGAGGTGAAGAAAAATGAAAACACTTCATTTTTCTTTTCTAGTCTATGAATAAAAAACATCCCAGAAAACAGAATATTTTCTTCAAAAGGAACACTCAACTCTTACTCTTCCTCCTCCTACACACCTAATCCATTTCTAAGTCTTGCCAATAAGAACTCCACAATATCTGACCACTTCTGTCTACTCATTTCAGGACCTCCTAGACAATAGTTGTAATAACAACAGGTCTAAGGCCTCAAATCTCTTTCCACTCCAATCCATCCTCCACACAGTGGTCAAAACAATTTTCCTCAAAGGCACAACTATTTCACTCCCTACTCAATAAACTCCAATGCCTCCCTATTACCTCTAGGATTAAATATAAACTCTTGTTTGTCATTTACCCTTCACAATCTGGCTCAACCTACCTTTCTAGCTTTTTTTATACCTTATCCCTCTCCCTTTCCTACTCTGGTCCAGCCAAACTGGTCCTGCCATCTTCATCTCTGCACATACTATAACCACACATGGAATATATTCCTTCTGCCTATTAAGTTCCTTATTTCCTTCAAGATTCTGCTCAAAAACTACTTTTTTCTACAAGAAGCCTTTCCTGATTCTCCAGCTACTAGCACCTCCCCATTATTCTGTATTTATTTTCATTTACTTATATACATGATTGTCTCCTCTTCTCCCTCCCCCAAGAATGTAAGCTCCCTGAAGGCAGGGTCTGTTTTACCTTCTTTTATTTGTATCTCCAAGACTCAACAAAGTTTCACACACAGTAGACCCTTAACAAATGTGTAGTGACTGAATGACCATGGACAGTCATTTTTCTTTCAAAAACTCTACAATTTAAAATGAAAAATTCATGCTTTTGTTAGGATGATGGAAGAAAATATAAACTTTTATTATTGTCATTAAATGAATAAGGATGACTAATTCCCTCAGTTTCTTCTAGTGAAAAAGTATGACCAACAGGTATGGAATCTATTCCAACCAACACTAATTCTATAGCTGAGAAGAGTCCTACCTACTACAAGGATCAAAACTATTGAGTAAGCAAAATTCATCTTGAGAACCCAAAGAAATGACTCAAGCCATCTCAAAACACTTTTGGAGCACAACTTGAGGGGAGGGAGAAGGGTATTGTCTCTTAAGATGTACCATGTCCGAATTTGTTTACTTCATCTACAAAAAGTACACTTTTTTTGTCCATGACAAAACTAAACACACACAATATCATAATACACCTCACATATGCAGAAAACACTGATGCAGCAACTTCACTAATCTATATCACAACTAAGAATCAGAAAACAACAAAAGTCTCTAGAGATGCAAAACAGTTCAAAAAAGCATTGTCCTTAAATTCATGCTAAAGAACACTTCAGAGAGTGCTCAAGCCCTAGGCCGAAGGCTATTTACTCATATTGTAGAAAATTCTGAAGTTTGATAACCAGCTTTCTCAGTCTGAAGTAAACTTTAAAGATGAGAGACAAACTACTAGTGGTAAACAAGAAAATAAGATGGGAGAAAAGTTAGCAATGCTGAGGCCAAAATGAGAGCCACTGAAGCATTTCGTGTGTGTATGTACACACACATACATATATACATATACTATGTACATACACACACAAGAGAACAGAAGAAATTCATAAGGAAGCACAGAAACGCAAAACAGTTTTGAAAGTAATGAGTAAACTTTATCACATCTGAAAAAGCAAGCAAGATGAAATAGAGAATCACAGTTTTATTTGCACCCTTCTTTTGTGTTCCACTGTGTATTTAGAAATGCTCTTTTCGGGAGGTAAGTTCAAATTTTAAAAAATTTAACTTAGTTTTAAAAAAAAAAGTATAGCGTCCAGAATGAGGTCAGTAATTGTTCCACTGTATTTAATTCTGGTAAAACCACAAACAAAAATTAACAGCCAAGAGCCAGACAGCTAGATAAGAAAGCCCTTAAAAAGCACAGACACGTGTGCACAATTACACAGAGGCCTCAACAAGCACAGCACTCTGAGGCTAATTTACTGTAGGGACAAACAGACCCTTAGGGTACCCGAACTCAAAATTTAAGTTCATAGTCTTGTGTCATTAAGAATAAATTATATCCAACATGCTCAGATTTAAAAATATTCATTTCAAAATATTAAAAAAGAAGTTTTGGCACTTAAAAGCATCTGAGACACCTCATCCACTGAAAACATGGGTGAAATGAGGTTACCACGTATGGAAAGACATTTGGATTTGATTCACAATTTGGGTTTGGGTTATAGCCCCAGCCCTCTTAACCTTTTCTGTGTCATGGACCCCTTTGGCAATCTGGACTTTTAAACCAAAGCTTAGCACAGTGCCTAGCAAATAGTAGTGGTTTAATTTGCCTTGCCTTTTTGTGTCACAGATCCCTTTGGCAATCTGGTGGAGCCTATGGGCCCCTTCTCGAAATAATCTTTTTAGATGCATAAAATAAGAAATATAGAATTACAAAGGGAACCAATTACATTGGTTATCTAAATATTAAAAAAAATAAATAAATTCACAAACCCCAGGTTAAGAAGTCATCACTAGAAAGCAGCTAGGAGGCGTACTGCATAAAGTCAGGAAAACCAGCGTTCAAATCCTGCCTCGGACACATTCGCTGTGTGGTCCTGAGCAAGTTACTAAGCCTCTATCTTCCACAGTTTTCTTCATTTGTAAAATGGAGCTAATAACGGCTCCAATCTCGCAGCGTTAGGATAAAATGCAATTTGTAAAGTGCTTTGCAAACCTTAAAGCGCTATATAAATGCTAACTATTATTACTACAGTAAACCATTACAGGCAGATGGGAAGCTTCCCCGAATTAAAAACAAAAGCCCACCAAAACATTTAAAGGCATTATAGCTCCACGTTAACAAACCCCCCCCATATGAACCATCTCCTTGTAGTTCCCCGGAGGTCCGCTGGGTGTCACCGAGTCCCTCTGAGAGCAGCAAGCACAGGTAATGCACTAAACTCACCGGGACTCGCTCCAGGGTCAAGTTGCAAGAAAGTCGTGGTCGGATCTCACGGCATTCGATGCACTTCCTTTCTATGACCTCAGCTTCCTCACGGAAGTGGAGTTTCCTCCCCGCAGGGCGCCGGGGGTATGCCCTTTACCCAAGCGCGCACGCTGCCGTCTTATTTCCCCGGGTCCCAGAGATCAAAGGCCGCTCCCAGACGCCTCTGCGCGTCCGCAGTCCAGCCTTCCCGCGCGCCCTCGCAGCGTGTTCAAATCCCCTCGGAGAGAAGCGGCCGAACGGAGGAAACCAAAGCGCTCAACTCACAATCACGTGTACAGCGGCGCCCCGCGGAGTTTCATAGGAAGCCAAGGCCCCGCCCCCTTTCCTTAATTACCTCTGTAGCGGCTAAGGTTCCGCTTCTCCCATTGGGTAGACCAAGAAAGGAAGACCGAAAGGGATTGGCCAAGGAGAGATAGGGGGCGGAGGAAGAGAGAGTCGGATGAACGCGGAAGAAGCTGGTGGCCGGACTAAAGATGGCTAGGGCTAGGGTGAACTAGGCGGCTGCGTAGCTACGATCTTCCCGCCTCCTCACGTCCATTACGTCAACTGAAACATCAACAACTTTATTGCTTTAAGAAGGCGTCAAGGCTGTGCGTGCAAGGAGCCTCAGTGTTGTGGACACCCCCTGGTGGATGCTGGCTGTCGTCGCTGGAAAGCTTCTCGCGCTCTTAACGACGGTCCTGGGAGCTTTGTGTGCAGCTATGCACATAGGCTTCTTTTTTTGCCTCTATTTTTTTTTAGTTAAAACATTTTTCATAGCATCTTAAAAAGTTATGAACTTAACAAACAGGAAGGTTTCCTTATACAAAAGGGGAAAGAGAATGTATGAACCGTCAATATATTACGGCTTTTTGTTTTTAAGTATATTTTAAATTTAACAGTCCTGTCAACAGTGCAGGGCAGCTAGTTGGTGCAGTGGATAGAGTGCTGGTCCCGAAGTCAGAAAGACTCATCTTCCTGAATTCAAATGTGACCTCAGACACTTACTAGCTATGTTGTGATTGTGTGGTTGTGTAGTTTGTCCTTCTTTCTGTAAGAGGACCAGGAAGTTATCATCAGGAAGATGATGTCATGCCTTGGAATTGAATTGGATTTAAGTGAGGGAGGGCTGGGCAAAGGCACCAGCCTCACTTTCTCCTCTGGAGCCAACTGGGTCAAGTGGTCAAATATAGATCAGAATGACTGGGGGTGGCCTAGGATGCCGTAGGAGACCTAGGCCTTTTTAAGCTAAGGTCTTTCAGAATTCTCACTTTGAGTAAGGCAACACCCATTCTGTGATTAGGTGTGTTTAAGAAATGCCTCAAGGGATGCCCCCTTTAATAAAAAAAAAAAAATCAAACTGGGAGGGGAAGATCCTCAGGGTTGCTCGTTGAAAGAGCTAGCCATGTGACCCTGGGCAAATCACTTAAACCTGTTTGTCTCTGTTCCTTATCTGTAAAATGAACTGGAGAAGGAAATGGCAAATCACTTCAGTATCTTTGTCAAGAAATCCCCAAATGGGGTCATGAAGAGTTGGAAACGCCTGAACAACAAACTAAAATCAACACTTCCCCCCCATTGTGCTTTGTGTCTCCATGTGAACAAACATTTTTAAGTGCCTACTGTGCTAAGAGCTGTGACCACAAAAAATAACAAAAAAACAAAAAAACAAAACCCTTGATCTCAAAAAACAGTCAAATAGACTTCTGAAATTCCTTCTCCCCTCTTCCATGTATTTTTAAATGTCTCATTGATACTTCTCTATTCATTTTCTTCTCTTTTAGGCACTTGGGAGTTGAGTACCACCATTTCCACCCCATGACTCTTTCCCAATATCCCTCCTTCCCAATAAAACCCTTACTTCACAACTAATAGGTTTAGTTGAGCACAACAAATTCTCCCATTGATTGTAGGTGAAAAGGTATGTCTCATTCTGTACATACAGTCAGTCCACCACCTCTCTGCCAAAGAGTGGGAAGTAAGATCCACCATCAGTCTTTGAAGATTGCCTTGATTAGAGCTCTGAAGCCTTTGAAAGTAGTTTCCCTTTACAATTGGGTAGTCTTTTTGTAAACTGTTCTAGTTCTCTCTGATCCCTTTCACTATAAATCAGTTTACACATTCCCATGTTCTATGAATCTGTCTCTTTCCTCCTTTTGTATGGTACTGTAACATTCCATTATAGTCATATATGATCATTTCTTTTGGGCATTTAGTTTCCAGTTCTTTTGCTACAGGAAAAAAAAAAGCTACTATAAATATTTTTCTATCTATAAGTAGGCCCTAAATTTGCTTTTGATCTCTTTGGGGTATGTGGTTACTAGTGCTATCATTGCTTAAGAGAATATACACAGTGTATTGACTTCAGAATAGTTCCAAATTGCTTTCCAGAATGTTGGAACCAGTTCACAGCTCCTCCAACAATGCATGAGTGTGCTTGTTCCCACCCCTCCCCCATACAAACATACACAGAGTTCTTCCAACAATGACCATTTTCCTTTTCTTTTAAATCTTTGACAGTTTGACAGGTGTGACAACCTCAGGGTTGTCTTAACTTGCATTTCTCTTTATGAGTGATTTGGAGCATTTAAAAAGTATGTGGTTGATAATTTGCCTTTTCTCCTCTGAGAACAGCCTGTTCATATGCTCTGACCATTTATTTATTTATAGCAATTCCCTATATAACCTGAATATCAGACCCTTATCAGAGAAATTTGCTGCAAAAAAAATTTTCCCCATTTAACTGTCTCCCTTATAATTCTCACTACATTGATTTTGTTTGTGTAAAACTCTTCAATTTCATCAGAATTATCCATTTTATCTTTTATGATCATCTTTTGTCAAGAACTCTTTCCCTATTCATAGTTTAAAAAGTTATACCCTTCTCTCTTCCTCTAATTTGTCTATCTGGCCTTTTATATTTAAGGCCAGCATCCTTAGTACTGGAATTCTTTCTCGCATTTGAAATATTTTTTTTCTTTAATTTGGAAGCCCTAGATTTGGGCTATGATATTCACAGATATTTTCAGTTGGAGTTTCTTTCAAGAGATGACTATTGGATTCCTTCTGTTTTCACTTTGCCCTCTGGTTCTAATTAGATCTATTAGGCAATTTTCTTTTCTAATATATGGTCCACTTTTTTGTTTGGTCAAGGTTTTCAAAGAGTCTGATGATTCTGAGCTCTCCTCAACCTGTTTGCAAATCATTTTTTTAAATGGTAGATACTTTATATTGTCATTAAAATAGTTTGACTTTGTTCTAATATTTCTGGTTGTCTTAAGGAATAACTGAGTTCTGGTGGTTCTATTCTGGTTTTGTTTTTTCAAGCAGTCGAGTGTTTTCATAATGATTCCCACCTTGTGTTCTTAATAATTTAATCTTTCTTTTTCTGCCCAAACACTAATTTCTTTTATAATTTAATTTTAATCTCTTGCTTCTTTTTCTTTCAGCTACTCTTGAAGTCCTTTTGGCTAAGCCAGAGGCTCTACTGTAGAGCTACCTTTCTCTTCTGGACTGCCCTCATGACTGTTTCTTAACCCGTAATATTTCTTCATTGTATTCAGTGTTTTCTTCTATTTACTCATATTTTCAGTCTTAGTTCTTTTTCTTTCTTTTTTTTTTTCAGGCAATTAGGGTTAAGTGACTTGCCAGGGTCACACAGCGAGTAATTGTCAAGTGTTTGGTCTGAGGTCAAATTTGAACTCAGGTTCTCCTGACTTCAGGGCTGGTGCTTCATCCACTGTGCCACCTAGCTGCACCTTCAGTCTCAGTTCTCTACCTTGGACAATCAACAAAATAATACATAAATGCTCACACTAAAAATTTAATAACTAGCTCTTGAGAGACCATTTGAGGTGGCTCCTGCACACCCCTTATCTTCTTGACTTTTTTTTTTGGCAATTGGGGTTAAGTGAGCTGCCCAGGTCACACAGCTAGTAAGTATCAAGTGCAAATTGAATTTAAAAGTGTATCATGCACACTTTTTTTCTGGCAAAACCAGCACACCCTTGCTGATAACATATACATGTTAATTTCCAATGAAATACAAAATGAAGAATTTAGACTCTTAGAATATAATTATTGCTGCCTGCGAACTCTCCTAGCCCCTTTCACTCACTTTCATACTTTTATATTATATTTTTATATGTTTAATTTGTCCTCATAATAGTATTGAGATGCAACTGGGTTCTTAAAGGCTATGTCAAGAGAATATAAGCTTTCCTGAGCTAGAAAGGCTTTGAATATACTCCCTGTATGTTTACCATCTAATTTATTGTTGTTGTTGTTCAGTTATATACAACTCTTCATTACCCCTTTTAAGGTTTTCTTGGCAAAGATATTGAAGTAGTTTGCCATTGTCTTCCTTGACATTTCTTATTTTACAGATGAGGAACAGGGGCAAACAGGGTTAAATTACTTGCCCAGGGTTACACAGGTACTAAGTGTGTGAGGCCAGATTTGAACTCAGGAAGATGAGTCTTCCTGACTCCAAACCCAGTGCTCTATCCACTGTGCCACCTAAGCTTTTACCCTCTAAGGATCAGCCTAAATTTAGAGATGTTTATCAAAAGAAGTTTGACCACCAGGTAATGAATTGAGGGGAAACAGAAACCTATTATGGTGTCTAAGGGTGCAGTCATCTGATGGAATGAATACCCAACATGGATGATATCTTGAAGCTTTTGAAGTATTGATATAGATAGGTTGGTAGATCAGACAAATACTAAAAACACAGTAACACTTGGATGATAGCAAAACATTTGGCAAAATATTGTCATGTTATCCTTATGGTGGAACATGAACCAAAGAATGTTCAGATTGATGCCAATATGGACAGAACTTTCTAATGGAGTACCACAGAGCTCTGTCCTATTCGTCCTTTCTAGTCAATGACCTGAATTTAGAATATACAAATGTTACAATGCTGGGGAGGCTAACTAAGATAGGCTAACTAATTTAGAACATGCAAATATTACAATGCTGGGGAGGCTAACTAAGATAGATCATAGAATGCTAAAAAATGCTGAGCTGAAGTCAAGAAAATGAAATTTAACTAGATAAATGTAAAAACTTCCATTGAAGCAAAAAAAAAATTAATTATACAACTAAAGGATGAGAGAGACTCAGTATGATACAAATTCACATTAAAAAAAATCTGGCAGTTTTAGTTGATCGTTTACTGAATCAATGATGTAAAGCAGCTAGTAAAAATAAAAGTAAATGCAAAAAAGTAAAAGCAATTATAAGCTGCATCCAAAGATA